TGTAGGGTTTATAGGGACCTGGTTAGTAATTGTGTACAGTCTGTGCAGTGTCTATAGGGCCTGGTTAGTAATTTTATACCGTCTGTGTAGGGTCTATAGGGACCTGGTTAGTAATTGTACACAGTCTGTGTAGGGTCTATAGGGACCTGGTTAGTAATTGTACACAGTCTGTGTAGGGTCTATAGGGACCTGGTTAGTAATTGTATACATTCTGTGCAGTGTCTATAGGGACCTGGTTAGTATACAGTCTGTGCAGTGTCTATAGGGACCTGGTTAGTAATTGTATACATTATGTGCAGTGTCTATAGGGACCTGGTTAGTATACAGTCTGTGCAGTGTCTATAGGGACCTGGTTAGTAATTTTATACAGTCTGTGTAGGGTCTATGGGCACCTGGTTAGTAATTGTACACAGTCTGTGTAGGGTCTATAGGGACCTGGTTAGTAATTGTACACAGTCTGTGTAGGGTCTATAGGGACCTGGTTAGTAATTGTGTACAGTCTGTGCAGTGTCTATAGGGCCTGGTTAGTAATTTTATACCGTCTGTGTAGGGTCTATAGGGACCTGGTTAGTAATTGTACACAGTCTGTGTAGGGTCTATAGGGACCTGGTTAGTAATTGTACACAGTCTGTGTAGGGTCTATAGGGACCTGGTTAGTAATTGTATACATTCTGTGCAGTGTCTATAGGGACCTGGTTAGTATACAGTCTGTGCAGTGTCTATAGGGACCTGGTTAGTAATTGTATACATTATGTGCAGTGTCTATAGGGACCTGGTTAGTATACAGTCTGTGCAGTGTCTATAGGGACCTGGTTAATAATTTTATACAATCTGTGTAGGGTCTATGGGCACCTGGTTAGTAATTGTACACAGTCTGTGTAGGGTTTATAGGGACCTGGTTAGTATACAGTCTGTGCAGTGTCTATAGGGACCTGGTTAGTAATTTTATACCGTCTGTGTAGGGTCTATGGGCACCTGGTTAGTAATTGTACACAGTCTGTGTAGGGTCTATAGGGACCTGGTTAGTAATTGTATACAGTCTGTGTAGGGTCTATAGGGACCTGGTTAGTAATTGTACACAGTCTGTGTAGGGTTTATAGGGACCTGGTTAGTAATTGTGTACAGTCTGTGCAGTGTCTATAGGGCCTGGTTAGTAATTTTATACCGTCTGTGTAGGGTCTATAGGGACCTGGTTAGTAATTGTACACAGTCTGTGTAGGGTCTATAGGGACCTGGTTAGTAATTGTACACAGTCTGTGTAGGGTCTATAGGGACCTGGTTAGTAATTGTATACATTCTGTGCAGTGTCTATAGGGACCTGGTTAGTATACAGTCTGTGCAGTGTCTATAGGGACCTGGTTAGTAATTGTATACATTATGTGAAGTGTCTATAGGGACCTGGTTAGTATACAGTCTGTGCAGTGTCTATAGGGACCTGGTTAATAATTTTATACATTCTGTGTAGGGTCTATAGGGACCTGATTAGTAATTGTATACATTATGTGCAGTGTCTATAGGGACCTGGTTAGTATACAGTCTGTGCAGTGTCTATAGGGACCTGGTTAATAATTTTATACAATCTGTGTAGGGTCTATAGGGCCTGGTTAGTAATTTTATACCGTCTGTGTAGGGTCTATAGGCACCTGGTTAGTAATTGTACACAGTCTGTGTAGGGTCTATAGGGACCTGGTTAGTAATTTTATACCATCTGTGTAGGGTCTATAGGGACCTGGTTAGTAATTGTACACAGTCTGTGTAGGGTCTATAGGGACCTGGTTAGTAATTGTACACAGTCTGTGTAGGGTCTATAGGGACCTGGTTAGTAATTGTATACAGTCTGTGTAGGGTCTATAGGGAACATTCATTCTGTGAGAGGGAAAGTAGAATGTTTAGAGCCGTTGTTAATAATTTGATAGTTTTGGATCCTTCATTTAAATGTAATTGGATGTATCCACTATTTATTGAACTGCTAGTTGGTCTAGTCTTTCTGATATAAAGCATGTTTGTATGTTGTGGCAACATTGGGTGATGGTAACATTGTGTTCTGTAATAACATGGAAATTGCTGTATATGAAACATTCTGTCCCAGGTTGGCTTTAGGTTTGCAATGTTTATACACTGTAGCAATTTGAAAGGGTGTAACATCAAAGGCAACCCTTTTTAGGAAAATAGTCCTAAAAATATTTTGATGATAACATATGTCCTTTCTCTTTCTTCTTCTAACATCAAAGACTTGTTTCTGCCCATACCCACAGACCATTTCCAGACCCCTTAATAGCCACTGCTTTAGTAGTGAGCTCGCACCAACCATTGATCTCTTAGGCTCGGTCATATCGGTTAATACACCTTGCCTGCAAGATGCTATAACTATTTATCCGTTTACAATTCGGGATCTATACATACCTCTCATCGGTGATCTCTTTTTAGTTTTGTGGAGGAGGTGTGTAGTAATGTTCTAAAAAAAAATCATAGTTTTTATTTTAAGGGGAGCCCCACCAAGGCACAGTAGGATAATAGTCAGTATCATAGTATTTCTGTATTTTCCCACTAATTTATTTACTCTCCCCACCTGGATTCTAGTCTGTAACAATGAAAAGAGTAGCCGGTAACCAAAGGCAACCAGCCTATGAGTGTGTCTGGGGGATCCCAAAAAGGGGGTAACCCTTACATACGTTTGAAAAATAAAAAAAATAAAAATTCCAGATTTCTTGTTACCAGCGGAAAGGTTCTTTGGGGGGCACTTGAGGAGGGGAGGATTCCGTTTGTTTATTCTATCTCCGCAATGCATCCCTCTCCACTCAGTTTATTTCCCTCTTACTGCAGTGGTTTTTGCTACACTATCTATTTCCCTCACCACACAGTGGTCATTGGCATATAGTGCAACTTAGTTTCTATTTCGCCCTGGATACAGTTTGCTATCTAGTAACCTATTACCTTCCTTTTTTCTTCCTTTTTTCTCCTTTTTTCTACAAGCAGCCTACAACATTGTTCACAATTCTCCTCTCTCTCTCCTCCCTACAATTTACCCTATTTTGGCTTTTAGACTCAAGCTAGATATCTCTCTACAAGTGATATTTGAAGGATATTGAAAAGGATCATTACCATTATTATCTATACCTTCTATTTTCACTGTTCATACCCACAGTTGTGGCACTCCATATATTATTATTCATTATTTTTTATTTTTCGTGTATTTACATAGTTTTATCCATCAACAATAAAGGTTAAGTTTTAATTCAATTGATTTTTTCCAGCATTACAACTAGGATGGGGATTCCTTTTTTGGTTGACCTAGTGTAGGGACGAGGTGTATCCTCCTCTCTATCTAGATCCTCCTATACCTTTTTTATTAGTCTGTAACAATGTTGCAGGGCTCTACTAGTATCTACATTCTTACTTTGTAACACATAGTATTGGAGTATATCTTTAGACTTTTACCAGTAGTTGTTCTTTACCTAAAATAACCTTTACTATCTCTGACATAATGCTAAGCCGCGTGTACAAATGTCATGTATTTTTTTTTTTTTTTTTGGGTAAGGGTGTGTGTAATATCTTATCCTATTTATCATATCGCTCATGGTTCTGAGATTAAATTATGTTACACAATCTGTAATAATATAATAAGGATCATATAGACAAGAGCCTTTTGGTCATGTTTTCATAGCACTATAACGTGCTGTTGACACTGACTGCTGTTGGATGCTTCTCTTATTAAATGAGTGGTTTAAAAAAAAAAAAAAATTGGAACCCGATGGAGTTCTCATATTTAGGATTCTATAACAATGTTAGAGATATTAAGCTTGTACCTGAAGTCGTGTGACATATGACTCTGCCTAATCCACACAGTGCGCTTCTCCACATTCCGGACTCTGTCAAGTTCACTTTCTGATCAACTGAGAGATGTTGGAACCAACTATATGCTTCCATAGAAGGAATGTGGCTGGATTTCATGTTCAGCCAGATTTTTGCTGGACTAAAGGACCACTATAGTGCCAGGAAAACAAGCTTGTTTTCCTGTCATCATAGGGTCATCAGGTTCCCCCCTTCAACCACTTACCTTTCTCCAGCGCCGGGCTCCCTCTGTGCTGGGGAACACCCCCTGCTCCGAATGCGCATGAGCGGAACGGGGTGCGCAGTGATATTAGCGAGTAGATTGTAAACCATTTTTGTTCATGTTCTTTGCAGATTTGTTGTGCTGATTGCAGTTTATCTCATTGGTGGATTTCTCTATCAGCGCTTTGTCGTTGGTGCCAAAGGCATGGAACAGTTTCCAAATATCACCTTCTGGCAAGAGTTCGGCAATTTGGTAGCAGTGAGTATGGTTTAATTACAATTAAAATATATATATTTTTTTTCCTTTTACTAAAATAAGTTTACTGAAAGTTTTTCATGTGACAATTGTAGCAGCAGTATCAACAGAACATCTCATGGCCAAATAGTAATAGCCAAGCTATGATACAATAAATCCAAGGTACAGAAAGGAATGAAGTTATCCTGTACAGCAAGGAGAAAGCCTACGAAACCCCTTTAATCTCCCCACACTTGCTGGAAAAGGTCCCTTTTAATATGAATCCTGGGCATTTGGCATATGAGGTAGGAATTGTAAATTATTTATTTTTTCTTCTTTATAGGATGGCTGTGATTTCACTTGCCGCTCTCGGCCTCGGTCTGCTGATACGACATATAGAGGAGTCGGTGATGATCAGCTTGGGGAAGAGCCAGAAGAAAGAGACGATCACTTATTACCAATGTGATGATATTGGAACCCAGGTCACCCCTGAAACCTTAGGAACTGGGAGAAGCACAGCTATATCACCCGTAGCAGCCCCTTTTTCTGTACTTTTCCTGCTGCTTAGCCTCTCCTCTCTTTCTGCTTCTATGCTGAATAGGGCCTTATTCTAAATTCTCTTGTTGTGGTGGTCCTGCCGGTATTAATATGATCGTATGCTGGGGACCGAACCGTAGTGCCGTGCTACCAAGTAATGCTTCCACGGAAATTGTGGACTTCTGTAGTGACCCAGTACAACGCAACCGGACTCCCCGATCTATTTATTACATGTAGGCAGCGGTCTGCTGTAGGAGAGAATGACTGAAGATCTCTAAGCAGGAGCCAGGTTTTTGAGATACTTTTGATATCATATTATAAGGAAAATGGATTATGTTGTGCATTTAAAGTTTCAAAAGAGGTGCGGCACAGATGGTTTCATAAACTGCCTAGCAGTTTGCAGGTTTATAATCTGCATGTTTGGCAAAAATGGTTGAAAATCTTCCTGTTTTGTTTTACATCATGTGGGACTTGGCTGGCACCAGTTAGTTTATGCTGCAGGTTTGGTATGTGAGGGTCTGTTCTCTTAACTACTGGACTGATATAACTGGTGCTCGAAGTGGGATTAAGATGTCACACCCAATACACTGAAATTTAAAGTAATACTTAATAAGACTTGCCCACATTATACAATGTTCTCCACAGCCACTGACCTGTATAGGGAGCACCATTTAGTAAAAAGGGTACAGTAAGCATTAACCACTACTGAACCGATCACACTCCACCCCACCCTTGAAGTCATTATCTAATCTTTGTTTTTGGGTGTTAATATTTTTTGTGATTTTTATTGAAGGTTTTGGGAATTTTGTTTTGTACAAAATATTTTGGGAAAATATAAAATGTAAAAACAGATGTTTTGGTTTTCCTTTCTTCCTCCTAAAGTAGTCAGTGACTACTCCTATATAAGCAATAAGTGATTGGGAGAGAGCGAGGAGTGGAATAGCGCTAAGTTTCTATAGGGTAGGCAGCACGCCTAAACAAGTTAATGTCTCCTAAAAACCCAAAAGAAATAAATAGAAATACAAAACAATAGGGTACGCCAAGTGATTGGGGATAAGAATGACTACAGATAAAACAAATAAAATTAAACTGAATATACACTGACCTATGATAGTAAAAGTTTGTGTATATAAAAGGAACAAACAAAGTCCAAGATAAAATACAGTAGTATGGATAAGTCTATAAGGGTTTGCCTGTATCTTCAGGTTAGTGTACTTTCCAGATGTTCAAAATCCAGGAACATAAAAGAGAAAAGAAAAGAACTCCCAATAGTGCAATATGTATAAAATAAGGTAAAAATGTGAATAAAAAGAAGTCCAAATGACCTACTCACATGGAATAGAGCTAAAACAAGCTCTAGTATATAGCACTTGCAGTGGATATGATCCCCCACTTCAGGGATATTGATGGAAGATATTGATAGGAGACATTAACCTGTGATTGGGAATCTGAGCAAATTAGGGAAACAGCAAATTAAATTGAAATCTGGAAATGGACATTTAATCCCTTAAAGACACGTTACGGAAATATTCCGTCATGATTCCCTTTTATTCCAGAAGTTGTGTCCTTAAGGGGTTAAATACAATTTGTAAATATTTATCATGAGTACCTACATTGGAGGGTGGTTGGTAAAATGTGCAAATCCAAAACAAGGTGTTTAGGATAAAACTGGGACATTCCATTGGTTTCCATGGTAACTGCTGTTTGTAGAACATATTTATTCTCTCAAGTGCAGATCATAGTGAATTGGACATTTTGTGCAAAATAAGAAGTTTGGCTCTTTTGTCCTATATTTCTATTTCACTACAATTCACTATTTTCAGAAAAAAAACCTCTGTGTGACTCAGTTTCAGATAACAAATACGATTCACCAATATTGATGTAGCGTAGACAGATGTGCAATATTTGACACTTCCTTCTACTTGAACGTATGATGGAGATGTATAGCTATTCACAGGGTGGGGGAAGTAAAAATCACTGGCCTTTTGTGATCTTTTGCAGTTACTTTTTAAAATGGTTTAGTGATCCCTCCAAGAGTGCAATTTACATTTTTGTGCTGTTAAAAATATCCCAAAATGTGATTTATAGACAAAGTAACAAAAGTCTATGGTTTGAGAGATAAAAAAAAATAAAATAATAAACTGCGCAGATCTTATTTGTCCCTGTAACTTTACAAAAATGTGCCAAAAGTATACATATAGTATTTGCTCTATTGCTGGGTTGTTGTTTTTTTTTTTTACATTGCAGTAGCATACATAAAGATTACAAAACACGCAGACAACATAGGGTTCTAATTAAACTCCAAATGAAAACCTAGCTTCAGCTGAATGTTTGGGTGTTTTAAATGAATTTTGCACCTCCATTAGCCTGCAGTTTAGCTCATCAGCCAATTCTCAGTATAATATGCGTTATTGAACTATTGACAAACAAATTGATTTTATACTAAAATCCATTTCTGACTCCTAGGGGAAGTTACCTTTGCCACTATGATCATTTGAGTTGTACTGCCAATTTAATCTGTGCTGTGTCACATTAGTATCGAGTTGCAGTTGATTTAACGCAAATGGAAGACCACAAATAGCTCCTGCAGCAACAGGTACTTTGCCTAATAAGCAAACACTCCCGACTACATCTCCCATGGAGCTTCGCTGTAGGATATGGGAGGCTGAAGGGTTCATTTGAGACTACTGGATAATTTTCTAGTAAAATGAGGGGTGCAATTACTGTTCACCAAGGTGGGGAGAATGTTAAGAGGGCAGACATACAGGTGATACTCGAAAAATTAGAATATTGTGTAAAAGTTCATTTGTTTCAATAATGCAACGTAAAAGGGGAAATTAATATATGAGAGACGCATTACATGCAAAGCATGATAGTTCAAGCCGTGATTTGTCATAAGTGCGATGATTATGGCTTACAGCTCATGAAAACCCCAAATCCACAATCTCTGTAAATTAGAATATTGTGAAAAGGTGCAATAATCTAGGCTCACAGTGTCCCACTCTAATCACCTAAGTAAGCCATAACACCTGCAAAGGGTTTCTGAGCCTTCAAATGGTCTCTGTCTGGTTCAGTAGGAATCACAATCATGGGGAAGACTGCTGCCCTGACAGTTGTGCAGAAAACCATCATTGACACTCTCCATAAAGAGGGAAAGCCTCAAAAGGTAATTGTGAAGGATGTTGGCTGTTCCCAAAGTGCTGTATCAAAGCATATTAATAGAAAGTTATGTGGAAGGGAAAAGTGTGGAAGAAAAATGTGCACAAGCAGCAGGAATGACCGCAGCCTGGAGAGGATTGTCAGGAAAAGGCCAAGCAAATGTGTTGGGGACTTTCACAAGGAGTGGACTGAGGCTGGAGTGAGTGCATCAAGAGCCACCACACACAGACTGATCCTGGACATGGGCTTCAGATGTCGTAATCCTCTTGTCAAGCCGCTCCTGAACAACAAACAGCGTCAGAAGCGTCTTACCTGGGCTAAAGAAAAACAGACCTGGTCTGTTGCTCAGTGGTCCAAAGTCCTTTTTTCTGATGAGAGCAACTTTTGCATCTCATTTGGAAATCAAGGACCCAGGAGTCTGGAGGAAGAATGGAGAGACACACACTGCAAGATGCTTGTAGTCTAGTGTGAAGTTTCCACAGTCGGTGTTGATTTGGGGAGCCATGTCATCTGCTGGTGTTGGTCCACTGTGCTTCATTAAAGGACCACTATAGGCACCCAGACCACTTCAGCTTAATGAAGTGGTCTGGGTGCCAGATCCAGCTAGGGTTAACCCTTTTTTCTATAAACATAGCAGTTTCATAGAAACTGCTATGTTTACCTATGGGTTAATCCAGCCTCTAGTGGCTGTCTTATTGACAGCAGCTAGAGGCGCTTGTGTGCTTCTCACTGTGATTTTCACAGTGAGAAGACACCAGCGTCTATAGGAAAGCATTGTGAATGCTTCCTTCCGCAGACGAGCTTTATGGGGATGCAGACTTAATTTTCCAGCAAGACTTGGCACCTGCCCACACTGCCAAAAGCACCAAAGCCTGGTTCAATGACTGTGGGATTACTGTGCTTGATTGGCCAGCAAACTCGCCTGACCTGAACCCCATAGAGAATCTATGGGGCATTGCCAAGAGAAAGATGAAAGACAAGAGACCGAACAATGCAGAAGAGCTGAAGGCAGCTATTGAAGCATCCTGGTCTTCCATAACACCTCAGCAGTGCCACAGGCTGATAGCATCCATGCCACGCCGCATTGAGGCAGTAATTGCTGCAAAAGGGGCCCAAACAAAGTAGAGTCCATATGCATGCTTATACTTTTCAGAGGTCCGATATTATTTTATGTACACTCCTTGTTTTATTGATTGCATGTAATATTCTAATTTACTGAGATTGTGGATTTGGGGTTTTCATGAGCTGTAAGCCATAATCCTCGCATTTATGACTAATCACAGCTTGAACTATCTTGCTTTGCATGTAATGCGTCTTATATATTAGTTTCCCTTTTTACGTTGCATTACTGAAATAAATGAACTTTTGCACGATATTCAAATTTTTGGAGTATCATCTGTAGATCCAAAGGGCTTGGGAGGTAGGCAGGCTTGTTGGCTGTATCTGTGCAATAACATGGTTTCCTAATGTCTTAGGCCTGCAGAGCCTTGTTAACATAATTACAGAGACTGTTTAATGGCAAACAAGAAAATAAACTAGATTGTTAGGCACATAGTTCCTGGCGTGTTTTATCAAAAGTTGTAATGGTCTTGTGGGCTTTCACTGATCATATTCCCAGACATGGTTTTATATGCTAAATATAAGCCATAGTCTTTTAATCCAAATTGCAAAGTTTAGTCTACAATAGCTGTTTATGAATTATACTCCAACTAGCCTCTAGTCATAAACTTCATTCACAAGAAGTTGGGTGCAGGAAATAAATCTTTCACAGTTTGGGAGGTGGGGTGTCAGGGGAGGGAACTGCTACCTCCCTAGCGTATGGTACACTTTGCAGCACTACAATGAAAGGCCTGGTCCAAAGTAAACAACAGTCACCACATATTTCTAGGTGATACAGCAGAATGAATGCATGAACCCTGTGTCTAGTAAAGTGCTGCAATCACTGCAGGAATATAGGAGTGTGTATATCAGACTCTTGTGGAAAATAACACTTTAAATCTTACGCGAATTCTCCCAAGAAACAGACCAATTGTGTACTTGATGCATGTATATATATATATATATATATATATATATATATATATGTATATATGAGCAGAGTAGCCATCCGGAAGTCAGATTATGTGCTGTCTGTCATGGCATATTGTATATTCTATGCCATCAAAAGGATTTGAGGCTGTGGTACAATTATACTGCAGAGTGAAAAGATTAATTCTCACCGGCAGAGGAAATAGCACTAATTGTAATTAATTATTTAGTACCAATTAAGTGTTTACTTTCATATAGAACTGCAAATGTTCTTGTGGAACCTTTTCTGGAACTGCTCCATAAACAACACATATCAGAGCATTTGCTCACAGTGTGAAACATTCCCGTGAATAGATAAAATGTGCCAATTTATTTACAGTATTATCAATTGACTTTTGGGTGTAGGTTTTCTAACTCCAATAGGTGTAAATCCATAGTAGAACAGACCTTGTCCCACACCAAGAGTAGGCCTGTCTTATTTCACCCAATATGCAAACTCATAGCTTAAACTTACTCCAATACGGGCTCACCAGCTTTTGTCCAAAAGTAGCAGAGTGTGGACAATCCTTTGCATCCAGAAAAGCAAAATTAACAAGAACCACCTCTCAATCTGTGTTCCTGATCTTAAGCAAGGGAGTTACTTTGTTCCATACAGGCACAGCTCCCAATAAAGTGCCTTCAACGTTAGACGAATCGGGTTTAAAGACCTTTTTGTTTTTAGAAACTGCACACAAGCCTGTATAAAATGAGGCACCTGTCTTAATTTTTCTGGCATTAGCCTCTCGATAAGGCACACCTGGTACCTTAATGGAATATGAAAGGCTTTGGAAAACATGTCCATGTGTGAATAGCCTAAGACCTCCAAGTGCCATCCACATCTACAAAGAGCACACATTGACACAAAATGTCACTTGGGAGGATATTAATGCACAAATGCCAATTACTTTTTTTTCTTTTTCAAATGTTTCCTCAGCCTTGTGCATGAATATCATCCTTTGAACTGAGAGTCCTTTAGGATCACCATCATATTCTTTATAAATATATCAAACCTGTCTGCAGATAAGCATTGACGAACAGATACAGACATACAGAAGATAGATATATATTTAGAGAGTAACAAGGAGGAGATGATAAAAGATGAACGAGTTCAGGAGTGTTGAGGCAGTCATGGAGAGGTTATGAATGCTGCAATAAGCTGTAGATCCTTCTCTCCTTAAAACTGGCTGAGGTGTGTTCAGTCTGTACTCCTAGTAAAATCATTGACCGCTGTTGCTCAAAGCCACCTGCTGCTTGTTTTCCAATCCACATGTGGACAGCAATGTAAAAAGCTGAGTTAAGTTTCCTTGAGCAGGTTGATCTTGGCGCAGATTTTCAATGCAGGTCCCAGTTTAATGTTTAGAGCCGTCATGAGATGTTCCTCTTTCAGCAACAACAAAGCCTGCCCATCAATTTCCTGGGAGCGGAAATCCTCTGCCAACTCTTGGCAGCCTGCACAACATATAAATGGGGAAAAAAAGAAAGATTGTCTTATTATTTTCCAAACTGGGTGCAAAAAAAATGCAAAACAATACATAAAGGTTAAAGGAGCACTATAGTGCCAGGGAAACAATCCCGTTTTCCTGGCACTATAGGGTTATTAGGTGCCCCCCTCCCGCTGGGCTGAAGGAGTTAAAACCCCTTCACCCACTTACTTTAATCCCTTGGAGCTGGTGACCTCTCCTTCCCCTGCCGACGTCATCTCCGAATGCGCATCTGTCCGTGCATGCGCGCATTCAAACCGCCCATAGGAAAGCATTACTCAATGCTTTCCTATTGAGGTCCAGCGTGTCCTCAATGCGATTTTCAGGGAGACACCCACTAGAGGCTAGATTAACCCTCAATGTAAACATAGCGGTTTCTCTGCAAGTGCTATGTTTACAGCTGCAGGGTTAAAACTAGGGGGACCTGACACCCACACCACTTAATTGAGATGAAGTGGTCTGGGTGCCTATAGTGGTCCTTTAAGCCAACACTTCTTAGGGTCAGTGATACTTGGCTGCACATGATTAAAATGAGCAATATGAAATGGAACTGCTGTATAATAGCAGAACACTTTTTAATTGAAAAATTATTGATCCCCATTTGGCCTCACCAATCAGGACTCTTTCAAGTTTGTGGTCTAATCTTATGCCATAAAAACTTGACTTTCAAGGGTTTAGTAGTCAACTCGTTCAGGCCTGTAGCTGTTCATCTGATATGATGAGCAGAACGATTTTTAAATGAATAAGCGGATAGCAGCACATATATCCTTACCCTTGTAGCTGCAGTTATAATACACCATAATTAAAAGAGACTCAAATTGTGGCCTTCTTACCATGGAGTTAATGAAGCCATTTCATTAAAGTTTTTTTTTTCATTGAACTACTATGGAGTATATATGCTTATGGCATGTGCTCATTACTCCTTCCAAAAACAATGGAAAGCTAGGATAGGCTAACAGGTACTTCAGCAGAGCTCACCAGAGGAAGCTGTGAAATTTGTAATGTGATGTTACAAATATAATATCTAAATAATACATTTAAAAGGGGGATTACAAACTGAATGTTACAATGGGCTAAAGTTAGCGGGAGCTAATTGTAATATAGGAGTAAGCTTAAAGAAGCCCTTTAGCCGCTGCCGGCATTAACAGCTACACAGGAGCAGAGAAAGAGAGGATGAGGAAATGGTTCCAAATAAGTTGAATATTCAGTCATACCTTGCAGAGAAGATATGAACTCGTACACCTCCTCCACACTCCAGCGGCTTGGGTTACTAGACAGGAACATTGGGTTTATCCCCAGGAGGTCAGAATTCGAAGGTCCGCTGGTGGGAATGCTTCCTTCTCGCTCTCCATGTGATGATCTACAAGAGGGTGGAGCGACTGTTGCAGGTGAGAATGCCTCATCATAACTGGAATTATCGG